ACACACACACACACACACACACTGACAGGGTCGTTGCAATATGCGTTTTTACTGCCTGTTGCAGCGTCTAGCGCTGCAAGGCAAAAACGCATAAAAACGGCCGGACTTCACGCAAAAAGCCGGTAATCATGCACCTGGATGTCCGTGCGTCTGTATAAATGCACCACCTTCGTCCCAACTGACGCCCTTCTTCCTGCGTGTCGGAAAAGATTAAAGCACGCCAATATGACGCAAGTGTTAGGTTACAGCGTAGGGATCATTCCTGTTAATAGCGGTCTTCTGCGAGTTTAGTGCAAAAACGCATGATTGCACCGGAGAGCCTGGTGCGTTCCAGCCTGGGTTACAATTTGCATACATGCAAAAAGCATAGAAACACTTACTGACAAGAGGCTGCCCGTGTGTGTATGTGTGTGCTTGTGTGTTTGCACTTTTTGTCATCCACTTTCAACTCGAGAACCAGAGAAGCTAGAGAGATGAAACTTCAGAAATATGTGCCCATATGTGCCCATCACCTGTGCGATCCTTCCATTTTAATATTATCATCCTCGCACGCCTGGGTTCCGCGTACGAGTGCTTCGAAAAAAATATGTAAATTTTTGACAGGAAAGTGGCCTCGGGAAGCAGGCAAGTTAGAAAGCTAAAACTTTGCAGGCTTATTTTCCGTGCATGTGTGGGCTAAAGATTTAAATTCAGCCACCATGCGTTCGTGGTTCTCACGTACGGACACGCCAAAACACTTTGCAGGAAAATTGCTGACTTTGTAACCAAAAGAGCTAGAAGGCTAAAATATTAAGGAGATGTTCCCTGTTCAAGGACAGTTTAAAGATTTAAAAATCAGCCGCAGGTGCTCGTGATTCTCAAATACGGGCACATGAAGATTTTGCCGGGGAAATTGCTAACTCGACAACCAGAAGGATTGAAAGTCTGAAATTTTAAGGGTATATTCCCTGTTCACGTACAACTTAAAGATTTCAAATTCAGACCCTGGTACGCACGGTATCCCAGCAAAGGCACGTGAAAGTTTTGGCGGGAAATTACTAACTAGAGGACCGAGGGGAAAAGCTGAAAAACTAAAATTTAGAAAAATGTTCCCTATCCAAGTACAACTTAAACATTTCAAATCCAGTCCCCAAATATGCGTGGTTCTCAAGTACGAGCGGGAAAATTTGTTTTGCCGGAAAAATTGCTCATTGAACAGCTAGGTCATTTTCAAAGAACGAACGTTAGACGGAAATTGTTCAATTCCTTTGTGCAAAATTTACGATAACGCTAGAGAGCGCAAAAGGTAGGTATAAAGCAATAACATTCACGTATTAACAACCTGAGTACTTAAAGTCTGGTGCAAAAAAAAAAAAACGATCGCACTGGCAATTCTAGCTCCAACCTGGATTGCTTTACACTTACATTTTGCGCACACTGGCACAAATTATCGTAAATTTTACATAAAGAAAAGTGAACAATTCCTGCTGAACAGTCGTTTGAGAACTGTTTAGTAAGTAATTTATCTGCCGTAGCTTTTGAGTGCCCTTACGTGAGAAGCACGCATATCTGGAAGATGAATTTGAAATCTTTAAATTGTATTTGGGCAAGGAACATTCAGTTAAAATTTCAGCTTTGCAGCTTTCTGGTTCCCGAGTTATCAATTTTCCCACCAGAACTTTCATTTGTCCGTACATAGGGCTCAAACGTGCGTAAGGGTTGATAACGCAGTCCAGGGGCAGCACTTGGCTGGAGAATTTACTGGCAAAAAATCAATGCCGAAGCTTGCTTGGTTACCGAGTTCAAATATTCGGAAAGATGCAGAACATACACACATACAAACATGCGCACACAAACAGGCACACACGCACGCCATGGATTGAAATATGCATTTGCATATATGCAGAAACTCATAAAAACGTATATTCTGATGATCCATAGGGTGTGTGTGTGTTTGTGTGTATCTGTGCCTGCCCGGGTGTTTTAATTAGGTAACCAAGCAAGCTTCGGCGCTGAATTTTTGCCAGTAAGCTTCCTGGCCAAGTGCCACCTCAGGAGCGCGGTATCAATCTTCATGCACGTTTGTTCCTCGCGTACGACTATGCAGAAGTTTTGGTGAGAAAACTGCTAGCTCGAGAACCAAAAAAGCTGAAATTTTAAGGGGATGCTTCCTATTCAAATACAACTTAAAAATTTCAAATTGAGCAGCCAGACATTCGTGTTACTGAGGTATGGGCACGTGAAAGTTTTAGCGGGAATATTGTTCATTGATTGGCCAGGCCAGTCCCACAGAACAACCATTCGAAAAAAAACTATTCATTTTCCTTTATGCAAAACTCACTTTGATTTACCTAATGAAGACATAAAGTAAATACGAGCAAACTATTCATAGAGTTAGTGACCCAACTGCTTCAAGTTTGATTTAAAAACGCATGATCGCGCCGACAAACCTGGTACTTTTCAACTTAGGATTTTGGGCCTCTTATTCAAATAATTCCATATGGCCGTTCAAACAGATCATTCCGCAGAATTTGCAACGTCCCTGCATGCTTTAACGGGACTGTATAAAACAGCTCAGCACTACGGATTCCATTCAAATATACCTGTGAAGCCAAATGGCCGGTTTCCTTAGCAAATTTTTGCTGAAATTCTTGAATGAATTTATGGTCATAACCATGTGCCGTGATCACAATTGTATTTTCATATGCTCGTTTCACTAGCTGCTTATCGACACTAACATCCTCCCATGGGTAATAATCTTTTATCTGAAAAAAGCATCAAGGCACAATAAATTCACTGCTTGTTTTGCATTTTTGCCATGCAGAGCTAGAACGCTGCAATAGGTGGCAAAAGCATACTGTGAAGACCCTGTGCGTGTGCTTGTATGTGTGTGTGTGTTTGTCTTTTCGGGTATTTTTACTCAGCAATCACGCAAGCTTTGACGCTGAAATTTTGCCGGTGTGTTCCCTGGCCAAGTGTGGCCCCAGGAACGTGATATCAACTATCACACATGCATACGCGCGCGTAAAAATTTTGGTGAGAAAATTGCTAGCTCAGAAACGAGGGAAGTTAGAAAGCTGTAAGAGCTACTAAAACACGGCTCGGCTCGGCTCGGCCCGTCTCACACACGAGCTGCAAAAAATTTTTTTTCCGGAAGGCAAGTAGGGTTGCCCCACGGCGGATGGCGGTAGTTTGAATGTGGTGTCAGCGTAAGTTAAAAATAATTGGCCAACGCACAGGCTGCCCGTGCAAAGATGCGTTTTTTGCATGGTCCCCCGCAGTTTCTGTTGCTACCGGTACTGGTTTTTTCGGCAAATGCTTCTAGCTGAACAAATTAAGATTGGCCACCAGAGCTGTCAGAAAACATTTCCTTTAAAATTCCAACTTTCTAGCTTCCCTGGCACCTGAGTTAGCAACTTACTGCAATAAAATTTTTACGGGCCCGTGCATGTTTACCAAGCATACCTGAGAGTTGGGTTCGGGCTCAATGAAGTTAGGTGGACGGGGTAATATCCTCTTAAAATTGCATTCCTTTAGTTTCTCAGGCACTTGAGTTATCAATTTACACGAAAAAAATTTTGGCGGGTCCGTATGTGGGTACTACGCTTGCCTGGGGGCTGGGTTTGAGCCCAATAATACCACTTGGGTGGGGACCATTACCCCAAGAC